CAACCTTAGTGACTCTGTGATTCTGGTCACAGATTGTGCATTGGTAAAGCATAATTCTTGTAGGAAGCCAAGCTTTTAAAACTTTTTTTTTTTGTTCAAGCAACAGTTGATCAGTTTCAAAAACCAAACTGATGTTTTTCTTCATATGCCTTTTTCTTCTTCTAGGGTTTTCACAGACATTCAGCAGGTCCTCAGCAACCTGACGCATCCCCGTTTTGTATTCACAGTCAACGAGGGAGAAGCAGACATCCTCTACAACTTCTCGCACTTCAAAGATTATAGGTAGCAGTTGTTCCCCTGATGATAGAAATCCTTTTGTTGCTATAAAGACTGTTCCCAAAGGCTGCCTCAACCTTCCTCCTTTGCCCAACATTTCCTCTGTTTTGTAGGAAGCTAAGTGAGCAAAGGCCCGCGGTAATGGTGAATCAGTTCCCGTGTGAGAACCTCCTGACCGTCAAAGACTGCCTGGCATCCATCTCTAGGCGAGCTGGAGGAGCAGACGGGCCACGATGGTTGCCTCGTACTTTTAACCTCCAAACAGAATTGCCTCAGTTCATCAGCTACTTTCAGCAACGTGAGAGAAGGTGGCTCGCGTTTCTGCTTCCTTACGTTTTGTGCTTTCTTGATACCGCTTTCCTCAAAGGCCAGCAGCCTGCGTTTTGGGCTTGGCAGCTGTTACACCACCATGAGTTCGCTCTTGCTGCATTTATGTTCGGGTGAACTTTACCTGGAAAGTGTGAACTTTCTAAGTATTTTCTGTAAGAGCAGTCGAGCAATGCATTTTGAAATGCAGAAACTTTCCCATGGTTTGAATTCACATTTGAAGCTGTTGCTTCTTGTCTAGTCAAGATCTTACCTCTTCTTCTGTTTAACAGATACACAAAGGATCAGAATGTGTTTGCAACAAATGTTGGGTTTGCTTTTTTCCCCAGGGACCAGTAGCAGTTGTTCTTGCACTTAAGCCAGAGTGGAAGACGTTTAAAGTCTGTGTACTTGGGTTCTGTAAAGTTGTGAAAGTAACACTGAGTTTTAGTGTTAGCCTAAAGCAGTTATGGAGCTTTAGGGGTTTAAATCCACGCTAAAAGCTACTGCAGCTGCCTTGGAGTGGATGGAAACTAAGATTTTCTGTTGGTAAGAGAGGGAGAGTGAGCATTAGGTATTGCTAGTGGAATAACCTTTTATGCCTGGCATGGAGCCTTCTAGTTGAAAGGTTGCTGCTTTGGTGATGCTTATGGTGCCACCTGCCAGGCATTTCACTTGGCCATTCCTG